ACACTTTAGTCAAATTATGTTGGGTCACGAGCATCAAAAAATTTCTTCAACTGGGTCAACTGAGTCATGAGATAAAAAGTTTGAAAACCACTGCTCTAGCTGGTCTATGAGGAAGACAGATCCCTACACCAAACAGGCCCGGGTTACACTAGTGCACCACCATTGGTTGAATTTCTACCCTGCACTATGCTATGTAAACAGTAATCTTGCATATAACTGTATCTGGGAAACCTCCGTGAACAATGGATTTCCCCCAGTGCTTGTTTGTTCTGCCGCTGTCAATGTTTCTTATACAAAATCCAATATTTTGCTGTATGCAAGGTAGCTGTCATTCTAATATAGATTATTTAAGTCTAACAGTATGTCACTTGTTTGTTGTTAGCTCAAAATTTGCTCCAGCATTCATCTGTGAGTATATCTTAAATAATCCAATATGAATTAGCATAAATCCAGCAACTGACATTGTACAAAGCAAAGCTGAAATATAGAGATACTTGTACCTGCAAACAGCTTTGCAGATTGGCTCAGCTATGAGAAGGCTCATGGAAGAAGCTGAGAGTAAGGGGAGGAACAGGAGAGTTAAAAGAGACTCAGATGTTGGGTGGCCTGTGATGCTCCTCACAATTTTTAGGAAGATAGAAGTGAAGTAGAAATAGCCAGAGCGCAAAGGATCTGAAATAGCTGAGGATAGAAAACCAGAAAAAGACCAGCAGAAGAGAGGCTGCAGCTAGGCAAGAGACATAAGCCCTAAACCTGAGATTGCTCCATAATGGAACCTCCCTTAGCCCTGCTCTACATTTGGGAGTTATTTCAAAATAACTGCCCTTAAGTAGAATTTATAAGCAGAGTGTCCACACTACCAAGCCAGTTATATATAGTAGTCCAGTGTCTGAGAGTATGTAACATTGAAATGCTAGCTGTTCCCTCTGGGGGGTGCTGTTGCCTGAAATGCTGGCTGTTCCCATGGGGTGGTGCTGTTACTGAAATGCTGGCTGTTCCCTCTGAGCGGCGCAGTTGTCCGAAATGCTGGCTGTTCCCTCTGTTCAGCACTGTTGCTGAAATGCTGGCTGCTCCCTCTGGGCGGCCCGTTGCTGCATGGGTAGTGCGGGGCCCAAACAGCTGCTTGCTCCCCGCGGCGGCCTGGCTGAGCGGCGCAGAAGTCAGCCGAGCACCATGGCGGGAGGCGAAGGGGGGCGGGGCAGTGACGTGTGGCATGATAGTGGCTCCAGGCCCCACCCCCTGGTCATAAACATCATCGCCCCACCCCCCTTCGCCTCCCACCATGGCGCTCGGCTGACTTCTGCGCTGCTCAGCCAGGCTGCTGCTTGGGAGCAAGTGGTGCAAGCGACCGTTTGGGCTCCATGCTCCCCTGAGAGAGAGGCAAGTCCAAGCGACCGTTTGGGCTCCATGCTCCCCTGAGAGAGAGGCAAGTCGGGGAGGAGAAGAGAAAGAGAGAGGCAGGAGGCGGAGGAGAGCTGAGAGAGGGGGAGGCAGTAGGAGGAAGAGAGAGAGAGATGGAGCGAGAGACCGAAGGCTCAGGAGAGGAGACCGACGTGGAGGAGAGACCTGAAAATCCCGTCTTATGACGGGCTAATTGGCTAGTTTTTAAATAATGGGCTGCTTATTTTGAAATCTGTTTTTCTCGGGAAATAACACTAATTTCAAAATAGTTATTTTAAAATAGCGTTAGTGTGGATGCTCAGGTGCTGCTAATTTAAAATGACTACTCCCCAGAGTAATTCGAACTTATTACTCCCCAGTGCTTCCTGAGGCTCTAAGTCAAGGTGGTGCATCCACATTAATGAGCCTACCTCAGACTATTTTCGAGGCTATATGCTACTTTGATTTTGTAAAATCAGGAGTTATATCAAAATTTAGTTATTTCAGAATAATTTCCTAGTGTAGACATGCTCCTAGAGGCTTACATAGCATGAAGGCACTCTGTATGGAAAAGGGAATACCACTAATGGAGTTCCCTCAAAGTTGGTATTCACACATAGCAATAACCACCCTCTTAGATACAGAACAGCTCTCTTCCCCACTGCACTAACAAGAAGCCGTGGCCCCATTGAGGACATGCCTTTGGACTAGAGACACTGAACTACGAAGATGCCTTCCTTTTCTTTCCCCTGGAAACAGGGAAAGGTGGGTGCCTGGTGAATAGTGGAGGATAATGACACACCCCCAATTGGATTCAGCACATTTTGATGCCCGTGTGTTTAAAGGAGCAAGATTTGGTTCCATGCAGACTGTCAGGAATTTGCGGGGAGTGGTGTGGAATACGAGAATTAAGCTCTGGCTGAATTGCAAACACCTTGTGAAATCTGAACTAACATTTTTTAACAGCAACAGGAAAAAATTAAATATATTATATTGGCTAATGGCAGATTCTCTTCTAAAAAGCAATAATTATTTAAACAAGAAGTTTCTTAAAATATTTGGCATGCACTACAACACAAATAAAGAGGCATAGGGAAAAAGCATCCCTTGCCCCTCATAAAAAAGCAATTTCCTTTTCATAGTCTTGCATTTGGTAGTTAGTTTGAAAGAACCTCTTATGAAAATGGTTTGTTTATATTTCTGGTTCATACACTTTATCGTAAGTTGTACATGAGAGAAAATACAAAGGTCTTGTAGTTAGCAAATTCTTTAATTTATGCTATACTGTTTATTTACTGAAGGTTTTCTTGAGGAAGATGCATTATATGAAGCTGGCTCTTTGATGGTTTAAAGGACGGTTTTCCCTTAGTGGGGCAGTAGAAGTTAAAGTAATTTTCCGCAAATTTTCTTTTGTAGCACTAAGAGAACTGACAATAATTTGTTCCCTTTGACAGTATTCTTACCCCATTTTTCCCCTCACCTAGCCAAATGCTCAAAGCAGGCCTCACACATGAAAAATGTCAGTTTCTGAAAATCTAGACATCTCTTGCAAATTGGTGTTTTGTAAAGTTACTAAATATCAACCTGTTTTACTGTGGACTTGAATATTTATTTTTAACTTCCACCAATAAACAAGAAATATGGATAAACTTTGCACATTTACTGCTGTGAGAATTGACTTATGAATATGAATATGCATAACTCAAAGATGCTTTATGCAAAACAGGTCATATAACATATACATTTTATAGTTACAATCTGCTGAATCTATATATTCCATTTTTGTGCATGTGTCATTCTGGTATGTGAAGTCAGAAATATCAAATGTGGATCTGTTTAACATTCTAAATATGTTAATGAGAACAATTAGTGAAACTTCAGTTGTTTAATGATTCAATGATCAACTTAATGACCTGTAACTGCCCTTGTTTGTCCTGTGAGACCAGACTGTAGTTGGTCTTAGAAAGACATGTGACCACAACACCTGGTTCTGCAATCCATCTTGAGCCTAGTAATTTTCCACGGGAAGGGGAGATGCAAAGCAAGAGATTCCCACCCTGGGGGAAAAATCTATTTAAGCAATGGGAAGCTATCAGCTTTGTCTTTGCTGGTTTTGAAAAATGACTGGCTCAACCTAAGAGAATACAAAAGAATTTAAGGTTGCAGGCCCAAGTTGGACTAAAAGATTCCCTCTGATTTGAAGCATGTACCTGAAGTAAGAATAGCTACTTAAGGTAAGAATTTGCATGTAACAAGTTTCTTAGCAGATTAGAACTAGCTATCCATTTTCTATTTATTTTAATTTAGTAACTAACTTTGAGCTGACTGTTTCCATTTGGAACTCCTTAAATCTATTTTTGTATGTAATAAACAAAAGCATTTTTATTATTATCAGGCCCAGTGTAAATAATCTGTGTAAAACTTGTATACAGAGCAAGCCAGATTTATTTGGGGTTTTAGTCCCATTTGGGGTTTGGTATCTTGGATGCCGAGCTCTCTTGGAGCCGAAGTGGTTCAGGTCTGTGTGCTCTGCAGGGGGCGGCAACCCCACCCTCAGTCTTTTCTGTGGGAGACCTGAGAATCTGGCCCAGCAGGACAAAGTGGTGGAGAACCCCAAAGAGCAAGAAGGCAGGTGTCAGTGGCATGATCAGCACCCTGGGAACAACCCAAGGAGACTTTTGTGATCACACCCCATCACAACTGCTGCATGACTACAAACTATGAATCATTCTAAATGATAAATACACATGTATTTTAAAAAATGCATTTTTGTAGCTTAAGAGTTTCTAAGTGCCTTATGATTTAAAAACTGGATTATCCTGAAGATTCTGATGAAAGCTGACTGGGTTGTCATCTGTACAATGAGGAATTTAAAATGAAAACAGACTAATAAACAGCAAATAATGCCTGTGAGGGAAAGTGATTCCTTTTTGCCTTGAGCTTTTGTGGTAAACTTCTGTTATCTGTCCCAATCACCCAGTATAAAAAGCTATGTATGGGGCTTTTGCAATGGACATGTTTTGCGAGAATCTCTTGTAGTGATCATGTGAATGTGCAGAGGCCCCATTCCTCTACTTTGGCTCTGTCCTCTGGTGTCCTTTCCCTGGCAATGACATTGCCCACAGTGGCTTATAGGGCAGCTACATGGAAAGGAAGTGTGGCTGATTTACTTTTCTGGATAACCTCCAGCTTCACAGGAGAGAGAATATGAATCTTCAGGCTTGCATACATTAGGGAGGTTAATCAAAGGAGTCAAACTCAAAGGAAAAGCAAGCCTCTCCATGTAGCTAATTGTTTCTTCCTTAATCACCTGATCCTGAGAGAGGCCCCATTTCTGTTCTCAGTAACTTAACTCGTTCAAAAATCAAGCTCCCAAAGAGCATGTTCCGAATCAGACTGCACGTGTTAAGGGGAATGTAATTTTTTGAGTAAACAGCTCATCCTGGCTCTGCAGATGGCTCATTTCTGGTCCCAGGTGGAAGGGCTCCCTCAGTGGGTCCATCTAACACACTTCCACAGGCTGAAAGAATAATCTTCAAGATGCTCCTAGTCCTAGCCAACCCGGGAAAAACAAATCAGGATAACTTTCAAAACATCACTGTCAAACACATCTAGTTCAACAAGACTTTTTTATTGAAAACATACACAAAGGCAACATGTTCAGCTTCTGAATTTACATGTTAGAGCAGAATGCTTTAAGAAAAGGGAAAAATACAACTGACAAATACTGCAGTTTACATTGCTAAGGCATTGAGGCTTTAGAACAGGCTGTACTGTGTGTGTGCTTGTGTTTATATAAATACACATACACAGTGCATCAGACTGGAAACTGTACAGTATTACGTAATTTGTCATTTTCATGCTTCTTTATCTCAATATAATTTTCCATAGCAAATAATCCCTTTATCCAAATGGTGGAAGTTGTTCACAGAACAGCAGTAATAATCTACTCTTCAAGAGTTTGCTTACACTTACAATACCAATGGTGTACACACAACAGAAATTGGTATGGAAAGGTTCTCTTACCAAGATGAGGCTGAAGTAAGAAAAACGCTAGTTTGCAAAGGCACAGCGGAGGCAGGTTTTAATGCATTTAATACATGAATTATTCACAATAGCAAGTTTAGTGCGTCTGGGAACTTTTGTTAATACAACACAGTTGGTCACACAAAATAAAAATGCTTCTGTTGATTTGTCTTGGCAACTCGGATGCATCAACAGTGGTAACAGTATAACAGCTTTGTTCCCATCTGACAGCAAATAATGGCAGTTCTGCAAGGCAAATGTTAAACCTGACCGTATGTATTTATTAATTCCACAGTGTTTTGACAGATGATGGGGGATGTGACTTAAAGGATGCTGACACGCTCACTGAGGGCTTTCATCTCTGCTTCCTCTGGCTCAGTATTTTCATTGTGGTTAGCACTTGGATTGATAAGATGTGCTGGATACTGCAAACCATGTTCTCCTGCATACTGTTCCCATCGTGAGTCATCGCTTTCATGGGTGATGTAGCGTTCTCCGATTTTACATTCAAGCTCTCTTAAATCTAACCAGGTTTGATAGTCCTGAATGAAAAACAAACAAGCAAACAAAAAGGCTGTATTAGTCAGAGTATTTGTGAAAACAACTATTTCCTCTCCCAATAGTGTGAGAGGTATGATTTGAGTTTTGCTGTCTGAATGCCTTGCCTTCTTCTTGCGTTGTTCCCTCTCACTGGAGCAATTACTATAATATGAAAGTAGCCTGTGTGATTAGACTGTGAGATAATATATTGTACCATATGAGTAGCATAGAGATGTCTCAGAATACTATATTGTACCTTACATAGACTATAGTGGCAGGCTAGGGACTCTTATCTCATTTGAATAAGAACGCAAAGAAAAGAAAAGCCCTTTCCCACCAAGTATACAGTGAGTGGGAGTTTACACCAGCCCTTTCCTGACCACAGCTAATTTATATTCTAACATATCACATCAGCTTGGACATGAGGCTCTGATTTTTTTAAAACCCCATGCAAGCACCAATTTACTCAGAAATACACCCTTGCTTAGGGTTCCAAGTAGCCTTAAAGTTATTGGCACAATCAATTCTATGGAGAGAAAGAGGGTACTAGGCACTAGACTGGGACTTAAGAACCGCCAGTACAATTCCCAGCTGAAGCACAGATTCCTGTGTGACTTTGGCAAATTATTTAATCTACTTTATGCCTCAGTTCCCCCTCTGTAAAATGGGGAGTCCTATGTCAAAAGGGATGGTAGGAGGAGAAAAATAATTCCACTACTGGTAAGCGATCAAATACTATGGTGATAAGGGAAATATAAGTATCTAGATTAATAACATTTCTAATGACTATTATATGTTAAAACAGGAAATCCAGCCAGTCTTATTTGCAATCTAGAGAGAAAAGGCAACTAGTACTCACTAGTGGGCTGGGACAAACATTCCAAAATGCAAAATCAAATTAAAAAATGGAATTTTATACCTGATTCATAAGGGAAATGTTCATCTTTAAGAGACTTACAAAGGTGGAAGGGCTCTATTACCAGTGTGGATATCTTTTCATAAGAGAGAGCAAAAAGAATAACTTATGGTCAATTAAAAGGAAAATGGGGTGGTAGAAAAATTACAAAAAACTGAACAATGTGACAGATTCAATAATCATTAATAGTAGTGTCTTAAAAGGCTTGCTGCAAACCAAGCACCTCCAGTCCACATCCATTGTTGAGGTTTATTGTGGTTTGTCTTTCAAATAAGAATTAAAATAGGACATAAAATACCTAGACGCTGGCAACAGAAGACTGAAATATACACATTGTATCTGTGGGAAGTGATTAAATATCAAAGTTTTGGGAGGTGTATAAGAAGCTACTTAATCTCATGATCTATAAGACTCAGGGTAAAAAAGCATATGACACTATCTTTTTGAAGATATGTACTATGTCCCCAGGATTCTCACTGCTTCACAACTACTTGATCACATTGGTTTCACAGTGATCAGACCAGTAGAATCTAGCAGCTCCCAATATTCATGCAAGTACTTCAAATTTATGATGAACACAACTGACTCATTCCCACTCTTTCAACTTTTTCTTGTGAGGTGCTGAGCATTCTCCACTTCCTTTGAAATGTGCTTGGCAGGCACTTCTCTGAGTGCCTGTTGACTTCAGTGGAAGTTTAAGGACTTTTAATCCCTTGTAGAATCAGGCCCTGAATGGTGAATCACTTTGATAGGGGACCCAGGGCACAACTACCTGTCTCCATTTAGTTTTCTGTATTCTACCTTGCCACAAGGTTTGGCTGCTTTTGACTTGCGTCTTACAAAATAACTGACAGGGAGACCGTTCCATTGGATAGCAAAGTCTATGACTTAATGTCAGAAACAGGTACTGTTGGACACAAAGTTTAGGAATAGCTACTTGCAAAATTTTCTTACATTGAAAATAATAATGATGTATTTATCTTGAAGACAAAACTAGAACTTTGCTAATTCATACACTGATGCATGGGAGACCTGTTGCCAGTTAATCAGCTGTGCAAATAAGCAAATTAGGAGCTGATCCAAAGTACACCGAAGTGAAAGTCTATCAACAGCAATGGGTTTAAGATCAGGATTTTTTTTTAAATAGGTTTTGCACCACAAAATGTATGTTGTTCAGTTGGACAAGTGTAGTTTTTTATGATGGTATTCACAATACTCTAATTTATTGTACATTAATATATTTTTTACAAGTAATGAAAGTCTTAATGTTATCAAACTCTTCTACCTTAAAAAATAAATAATATTCTGTGCACAGAGCAAAGGCTGTCTAGGACTGAGAATTATCAAATTCCATTCTATTTAAAGACTAAAAAATGTTGTTCGTTTAGAATCTAAATATGCATATAGAAGGGGAAAAAACAACATTACCTGTAACCATGGGTGGCTTAGAGTCTTGTCCACACTGTAGCGCTTTCTCATTTTCACTTGCAGCAAATTATTTATGAGATCAATAGCTGAAAAACATAATTTCAGAGCATACGCTGAAATATAAATTTGAGCAGGTAAGGGCTCACAGGCCTCAGGTAATGAGTTTCAGCTTGTCTGATAAATTCAGTGAGGTTATAATCTGTATCCAAAATCACATATTATGTAACTGGAAAATTAACAACTCACTGATCACTAATATTCTTGTGTGATGTATGTATGGAGTATATATTAAGAGATATGGATCTATTCTGGAATGATTAAATTGCGTTTAAGCCATGTATATTAAAAGGGAGTTGGTAACTAGGTTTGCCATAGGCAATGGAATGTATATTTACTTCTCTGACCTGCTTGGCTATCAGTTAGGGTACGTCTACACTAGCCCCCTAGATCGATCTTGGGAGGCTAATAAGGGCGACTGGAATTGCAAATCAAGCCTGGGATTTAAATATCCCGTGCTTGATTTGCATGTTCCCAGCCGGTCACCATTTTAGAACTTGACTAGCCCGAAGTAACTGCCTGCGTCTACACGCAGCAGTGAACCGGGCTTCATACCACCTAATTCGATTTAGGGCTTTAAATCGGAAGCCCGTTTCACTGCTGCGTGTAGACGTGGGCAGTTACTTCGGGCCAGTTGATTTCTAAAATGGCGACCAGCCAGGAACATGCAAATCAAGCCCGGGATATTTAAATCCCGGGCTTGATTTGCAATTCCGGTCGCCCTCATTAGCTTCCCTAGACCGATCTAGGGGGCTAATGTAGATGTACCCTTAGACAATGAAGGTCCATTTATAAATAAAATAAGCAATGTAAACAAGCCAGAGAGGAGAGCTTCCAGCAGAAAATAGAAACTTTATCTGAGCTGTAAAGACAGGGGGTCTGAACTTCTAGCAGTAAGCAACTGAATCAATTGCTTCCATAGAATATTACTTGTATTATACATTTTTATCAGCGGAGGTGTTTATGAAAGCCTATAATACATTGGTGATTAATAACATTGGAAAAAATATGTACTAATACTAATTAAGGAATTATAGATTCTTGAATTTAAGCTTTACTGTTTGTGTCCAAAAAAAAGGACTAACAGAGATCTCTGGCAAAACTTTAAAAACAACTAATACTCTTGAAGCACCTTAAAGACTAACAAAACACGCAGTTGGTATCATGATCTTTCGTGGGCACAACCCACTTCTTCAGATGAAACAAGTCTTCTGTCAGGTCTCTGCCAGACAGGAGCGAATGTCATAGGTATTTACCTGTCTTCTATGTATGTATTACCTAATCTCCACAGTGTACTCAATTTTATCTAAGGAAGAATGATTGCACTGACATATCCAATTTAATTTTGGAAGGTAGTGTTCCTACCTCCAATGACAGAAACATCCTTCCACTGCTGTAGACTGTATTACCCTATACTATGGGGTTATGCTAATATAGTCTTCATACGGTAGACTTAGCCTTAAAGTTCATCAGCCAGCTGCTTCTCCTAGCATTCAAGCATTATGATCACTATCTAACTAGATAGAGGCAGATAGCTCCATAGAGAAGAAATGCACAGTGATACCCTTCTCAAGATGGCTGCTTATTGAGGACAGCAGCATGCATCCGTCTGAGAACAATGGGAGATGGCAGATATTTTGAAAAAGGGAATTTTTGTGGAATTTGCTGAAGGTAAGCCATTCTATCCTTCAGCTTCTGTTATTATAAAGAATAACAGTGAGAAAAATACCACATGCTTCTCTCTATAGAATGTTCTCATGCAGTTTATGCACAAGATATCCATAAGCTTTAACTATATGGGAACTTTGAAGAGTCTGTAACTCTTTCAACGAGATATTAGAGGCAAAAATAGTTCTGATATTAGGAACTACATTTATTGAAGGAACCATCATTAATGAATTTTGCTTTCTAAACTAACAGAGCTATCCTTGAATTCTCAGTTAATTTTGTATTTATGGAGTAGGTGCTGTAATTTTGGGGAGGATATATTTTTCATACATTAAGTGGTTAAATCCATGCTTCAGTTGCAAACCTCATCTCAACCTTAACTTCAGATCCACTATCAATATCTCTAATATAAATTCATCTGGCTATCTAATGGCAACCTTTCTGTATATATCCTGTCTTCAGTTACTGTCAAATAAGTGGAATTCAGAGATTGCCTGAGATTGAATTGCTCCAGCCTTCATGTGACAAAGTAGGGGCTTAATTCAGTTTTTTCTAGGGAATTGTGCTAGCTACAGAATGTACTTAGTTATACCACACACTTCTTGTTTAGCTATGGATCTCCACTGAACCCGGAAGCCATTTTCAATTATCTCCTTCCTTCTAGTTCCAACTTGAACCTCTCAGACCCTAAATTCGAACAACCTAAAAGGGCTTCTCACCTGACTACAGGATAAAAGAATTAAGTTCTGGTAAAGGGTATGTCAATAGTGCAAAAAACCCAAATAAACCCTACAACAGGGAATCTCAAAGCCCTGGTCTATAGGGTCATGCTTAG